TACATCCGTGTAAAATTAGAACTTGATCTGAATATTGTGGCGGGCGGGGTGAAATTTTTGGGATTGTTTTGCTTATTTCCGACTAATCCGTTTGGTTAATCCGAAAAATGGATATGACAACATTTGTTAGGCTCGGGAAGTTAAATCGAATTTCACTTTGAACGGTAAGAACGGACCAAGTTCAAAAATTAGTGTGTTTTACCAGTTTTATGTGACAATGCGTTACAGATGTTCGATATTTCGGATTTTTCCCGTTGAGATGTGATAATTTTCATCATCAGTTGAGTAGTACAACTTATAAATGTCGCTCGCGGTAGAGTAGGTTGAGATGATAATCGAAGTAAGTAACTGCCTAATCGGGTCTCTTGACAAATTACTCAAGAATTCATAACTTTGGTTCCACGCAATATTTTGTTTTCATTTAAAGCTTATATTTTAAGTCAAGCAAACCTAAATATAATGTCAACATTTCAAAAGTCTACCATTATCGATTGCTGAGCTTACCCCTGACAAAATTTCGTTGCAATGCGGACATACAGGCAGACAAAAAAAATTTTAAAAGTGAATTTGGTGCCAGCAATGTATGAAACGGAAAGATATCATAAAACGGGTTGATTCTATTCAACGTACAGACAAAACTCTATTGTTTTGTACCCTCTCCCTCCCCCATAATACAAAATCCGTCTCAAAAAAAGATTCTCAAATTTAACTATACACCCGTCAAAGACGAGTACATCAGCTAGTAAATTACAAATAGTTTCTGAAATATTTAAATCCCCATCTCCAATAAAACTTATCATTTGGTTATCGGCACTATTTTTCCTTTCCACTACTAATACGTCGTGCTTCGATAAGATACAATTTTGAATAATATATCATTGCAAAGAGGATGAAATGCAGAACAATTTTCTCGCTTACAGTATACAGGTATGATTTTTTTTAGATATTTAATTCATATGTAAAAATACTGCAACTAGTCGACTCTAGCCGAGCGTTACACAGCGGAGATCTGAAGGCTCAATCTAATTCACTCTCCACAAAAGTTCAAAACGTGCCTAAAGAAATTTTCATTTAAAAAAAAATCATTATTAGTGGCCAACTTTCAGTCATACTTTATTACTCTTTTAAACTTCTTTACTTTTTTTTTTTTTGTTTCAAACACCGAAATGAATTCATCTGGTATGGAATTGGAAATTGGAGGAATAATGAGAGAGAGAAAGAGAGAGAGAGAGAGAGAGAGAGAGAGAGAGAGAGAGAGAGAGAGAGAGAGAAAGAGAGAGAGAGAGAGAGAAGAGTGTTGAAGAAACACAATGAATAAATTAGACTAGTAAAGTAAGCCAATGAGAGTTATCCAAGCGGAAATCTAACTCGCGCAATTCCCTCGGGGTTCGAGTCCTGTATTAGCATGCGATTGGAGACTGCGGGCTTTGCCAATCTTTAAGGGAGTCACTTCTGCATTTCATAAAGAAATTTATTTAAAAAACGCCGAGTTTGCTAATATGAAAGTCGTAGAGAGTAAATAAGAAAACTTTTTAAATAATTTTAGTCGTATTATCCCCGATGATAACAGACTTATACATTGAATGTCATCGAGAGAAATGGAATTCTAAACGAAAAATCATTCTCAGAATTAACCGATTGTTGATCGGTGATTATGATAATGAAAATTAGCGGATTGATTAAACCCATTTTATTCAGTAATTTGCCAGAATTTTGAGCTAAAATTCTTTCAAAACACTCACGGAATCTCACCGAAGAATTTAATATATCCAACATAAAGATGGACTCTCGGTGGAACTCCGTGACAGACTGAAAAGATTAATGAACAGTTGCGTGAGATTTGTAATTGGTGCCCCGAGATACTACCATGTCTCTCACCACTACACTGAGTTAGAGTGGCTCTTCCCCTCCATTCGAAGACAATATTTCCTATGTACTCTATCAAATCATCAACAATCATCGTCCTTCCTACGCCTGCAACCTTCTCCAATTCAAGTCCTCAGCCCGCTCCCTTTCCACAAGATCTCGACCTTCCGACTTTTACATTCCTCCTCACAGATCTGCCTCGTTCCAAAACTCCTTTATAGCTCGCTCTGTTAATTTTTAGAATTTTTTTCCTATCAAAATTCGGCATTCTTCATCCCTGTCTAAACTCAATACCCTCCTATTCCAATTCCTGTTCCAAAAACAGATATCCGCTAACCTTTAATGTAAAATTACATATTATTCATAATAATGTATTTACATATAGCTCATAACTGAAATAATTATTAGAAGATTCGACTTTCTTTTTTTTTTCCCAACAGAAACACAGAGTTTACTGCTAAGAAGATTGTAACGTACTTTATATTTTGTCTAAAAGTGTATATTTATATTTTACCATTGTACGTAGTTTTAAGTATCTTCTCAAGGTTTCAAGAGTATTGTATATAGATTTTTATTTTTTTTTATATTGTATATAGTATGTAAAACTAATATTTTCTTTACTGATTTATCTTTACCTTTACTTTTTATGTTTGTCTTTATTTGGCCAGATATAACATTTTAATTTTGTAATTTTTTGTTATTCTGAAGGGACTTCGTCCCAGAATAAAATTATTTTCTATTCTAAAAATCGTTACATACCTCTTAGCTAATCGATTTAACACATATTAGTTAACCAAGGTTCGCTATTTTTAGCTCAAATTGTTTCAAAACACTCACGGGGTCTCGCCGAATAATTTAAGACATCAAACTTAAAAATCCATCGAGCGGTTCGCTAAAAAAAACGTTACATATTTTTTTAGCGGACGAACCAAACACATAACCCTCGTTTTTCTTTGCTTAGTCGGGTAAATATAGTCGATTTTCTTCATATTGATTTTTTTATAGAAACCTTAATAAGGGCTATATATATTTACTGTTATAAATAAGAGTTTAATTAAAATAAATTAGAAGAAGATACTGGAACATTGAATCGCTCCATTGCGATACTCTTTATCTTTATAAAGATAATTAATCGAGAATGAATAATTGGACTTTCCTTATGCGCATGGGTGAATCTTAATAAGCTCACATTATATACGGAAAAGACAAAAGCCATCCTGGTCGGATCCCCCTCAATCTTCAAATTCATTTCAGTACCTCTCAATCTTCTTCTGAACAACTCACTTATCTCCTTCAATACCACCGTTAAAAACCTTGGCGTTACCCTCCATCAAACTCTCTCCTGGAAACCACACAATCTCCTAAATTTCCACCCTGAAACAACTTAACCATCTACGTTATCTTCATCCATTCAAAACCTGTCAACTCCTGGTCCCATCTCTTGTTTTTCCCCACTTCGACTATGGCTGTATGGTGTATGGTAGACTCTCGGGAGAACTCGAAGATAACACTTAAACGTCTAATGAATTGCTCAATACGCTTTATCTTCGGATCTCAAGAGATAATCACATTAGGTTTCTGTCCAATGACAAACGCCCAAGACAACTTAGCCTATACCATGCGCAAGCTGGTGCAACCTCTTTGGATCTAGAAATCGATTCTAGCAGTCTGTTGTTTTTTAGTTCTAGCACAATTGTTTAACAAGCTACATTTTTTTGTTTTTTGGTTCACTAGTTAATGGACATTAGTTATATTAGTGGCTTGCATGCAGTGTAGTGAGCTCTCACAGATTACAGTAGTTGTAATTTAGTAATTTATATTCAGTGTTAGTTATCGTAAAGCATTTTTTTCAGTAGTGTACAAATTTTAGTTTAGTTTTATGATTTCTTGCTTTCTTATTTTAATATTTTATAAGAAATATTATATTTAAGAAATATATATTTATATTTTATTTCTTATTCTTATTATTTTCTATATTATTGCATGTGCATTCAGAGATATGTTTTTATTTTCTAAGTTTGTTCTTACCAAAATGTTTTATTTATTAAAGATTTTTTTTTGTAGTTTTTTATTGAACGAACCTTGAACGCATATTAACCAGTTTTACACCGAGTTGAAGTGGCTTTATCCATCCTACCGCCGTCAATACTTCATTGCTACATTCCTTTACCAGGCTATTAGAACTAGTGTTGCCCAAATGCAAGACCGAGACGAGTCTTGGTCTTGCAAACTCAGTCTTGGTCTAGGTCTTGCATTTACCTATCAGCTTATTACTAAGAGAAATCTAACTAAGTCTGAATGAAAAATTAGAAGAGTTAAATGCAAAAGAATATTGGTTACACCAATTCTTTACACATAGTAACTAAAATTGTCAAGTATTAGTACCTATTTTGCCTCAATTTCCATTCAAAAAATCAATTGTTTTTATCAGTCTTGGTCTTGGTCTTGCAACAGATAGGCAGTTTTGGTCTTGGTCTTGCAAAATGCAATACCAAGACCGATTTTGGGCAACACTAATTAGAACTCGGCGACCTATATTCTACAGATCCTACAATTCAAACGCTCCTTTCAATTCCTTCCCACCAGATCCCGTGCGTCCGACCTCTATCCTCCTCCTCACCTGACTGCTGCGGGGATTTAACAAATCCTTTTTAATTCAAGCTGTCTCCCTCTGAAACTCTATTCCCTCGGATATTCGACACGCAAAGTCAGTATGCCCTTACAAATCACTCCTCTTCAAACACCTAATGTTCAAAAATCTAAGTTGTAAGAATCTCAATGTACCCATTTTGTTTGCTTATTTTGTTTACTTATTTCACTTTGTCTGTTTATTTTTTTTTTATATATTTGTATTATCTGTACTTTTATTGTATTCCTAATATCCTGTAAATATTGAATTGTATTTTACGGACACACTAGAATATTAATATATATTCTATATTTGTGACTTGTTCTAAAGGGACACTAGTCCCAGAATAATAAAATTATTTTCATTCATTCATTCAATAATAGATGTTTGGACAGAGTCCGTATCAAAAATATAAATCGATAGGAGACCCCCAATCGGAAGAGTGCTGAAAAAGAAAGCCGGTCGCCAAAGAGATATGAATAATTGTAGGCGTGGCCAGAGGCACATGGAGATCGGGAAGACAACACAGATCGATGGACAACACCCACTGGCCCAATTCTCGGGTAATCTACTCCACGTGGTGTGCCGTCTCCGGGTTTTCTTCCAGCCGGGTCTTAGCTACTGGAATCCTGGATCGATCATATAATCCCGCTTATCCAGGGTGTAGAGGGAAATATTTAAAAGAGTGATAGTAGAAATCAATATCTAAAAAAAAAGTTCACATAAACAATTGCCCTATTTCCAGAAGAAGAGTAGGAAAATAAAGATATGTGTTTTTTTAAGCGAGTCGCGTTTTTTTTTTAATAGAAAGCGATAACTTAATGTTATGAGTGACAAACTTAATGTTTCTAGTTTAATTAAATATTTAATAGTTGACCGGTGTATTTTAGAGGAAGATGGTCCGAGGTGGCGGTCATAAATAGGCTAAATAGTGGCAAAACTATTTTATTAAAAGCCAACGTTTCGACCCGACGTTGCAGGTTTTCTTCAAGGCTAGAACGGACAAGATACAAAAAAAATATAGAGAATTGTGGAAGTTAGATATTATTTAGATAAAAATTATAAACAGAGTGACAAAACTTATGGGAATATTAAACAGTTCTTAAGATATTAATAAAATTATATTGAGATATTAATAAAATTATTGAGATATTAATAAAATTAAACTATATATACAGAGTAAACTAAGTAACAAGATCCAAAACTGAAGTAAATAAATGGTAACAATGGTTGTAGTATAATATATAATATTTATTTTAATAGAATATTAATAATACATTCTGCCACATTAAAGGGCATTAATATTAAGGCTACATGAATCATTTACACAATATGTACCTACAAATAATAACTAAGGTAGAAACAATAAAGAAAAATAAATATGGAAAAATAAAATAAGTAAATTAATATGTCTGTGTACAGAAAATGAAATAATAGATAAAAGATAAATAAAATTAAAGTAAATAAAACACATTCACACCTAATATATAATATAATATATGCAGTTATGAATATACTCCAACAGATCTCAAGGAGAGATTTGAAGAAAATGATAAATAATATGAAATAATGGACGTAAAGGGTTGTGAAGAAAGAAATGAATAACCATAAATAAATAAATAAAAATAAGAAATAAAAATAGATATAAAAAAATATTTTTATTTTTTATTTCATATAAATAAACATCCTAGTAATATGTTGTTTTCTTATATATTTTTCTTATTCTTTTGTTATGTTATGTTTCATGATCTTTTCTTATGTCATGTTTCTTGGTATGGGGGTTTATGATGGCTTCTTGAGTAGGCAATCTACACTATATAGTTCAAATTATGAAATTAGAATCTATGGTCAACTATCTCTGCACTATTATGAATTATTTATTTATTCAATAATATCTATCAATATCCAGGTGTATCATTTGGACTACGATCCACAGTACGTTAAACGTAATAGGGAAAGGGATAGCTAAGCAATGTGAGAGCTTATACTGAGGCTATACCAGTAATAAATAATAATATAGTTAAAACAACCGTTAAACAAATATAAACTTAATTATTAAAAATTTTATTTTTCATACATAAGCAAATTTTTGTACGAGATACGAGGTTGTTGAAACCTCACGATTTTAAATCGGCTTAAGAACTGCTACAGAGAGACATGAACCAGCCGAAGTTGTCCGCTATTCTTCTCCTCACGAGAAATTTTCCAAGTAGTAAGTTTGTCGCTCCTTGTTTTAATTCGCCTCTGGTTTAGTCGTTTCTGAGTTCCTTGCAAATGGAAAACTCAAACAAGTTACGATTTATTGAGTTAGAGTTAGTGACTTTATTTATTGTATTCAAAGGGAAACAATTAATCTGCTTTCTTAATCGTCAAATGTTCGGTTTAATGGCTTGTTTTTAAAGTTGATGGTACATATATCCTATCAGTTAATAACGACCCATCAATTACATCTCAAACTCTTCAGATACACATCACGACTTTGAAGAACTGTGTCAAAACTGGAGAATTAAAATAAAACCCAACAAATTACCTTTACCATTCGTCGTAAACTTATGACTTTCTGTCTTACATCCTTTGATAATACCCAACATATCAGGGTTGAACAAATTCGATACCTAGGACTCCACCTGCGCAAACGACTCACTACAAAATGAAACGACAAAAAACTGCTCAACCTTTCCGACTACTTCCGAACTTGTTATACAAACGCTGTAAGCTTCCAATTAATTACAAAAAAAAACATATACATGACTATAATAAGGCTTAATGGGTTGAGTAATGTTGATCTGCTAAACCATCGAGTTCCAATTACGTATCCAATTCTTATAATCCAAAATCCTTCGTAAAATTCTCAATGCTCATTAGTTTGTGACAAATAAAATCATCATAATAACCTTAATGTTACTTATGTTTCCGATTCAGCTCAATCCATTTACATTAATATTTTCATGACACTGGGGGTGCATTGGACCTCCAATTTCCTTCCATAATAAACTTCAGAACCATCCGAACCCTCTCGTTTTTAACTACTTGTTTTCTCTTTGATTTCTGATAAAACTACGAAGCGTCTGAAAAGAAGATGATCCCGTGATCTCCTAATTTAGACATATTTTTATAGTGCTACAAGTAGGTAATTCTTCAACAAGTTGTTTCACGCATCATATTCATTTCTTCACATATAATGGATGTATATATGCCTATATATATATATATATATGCCCCAACACTCAAATGGGTAACGATTTTCTTCGATTCTATTTTTCTAAAAATGTATCTGATCAAGCAATAAAATAAATATATTCTATGATGTATAAGTTTTATTAACCGGAAATTAAAGCAAACCCAACTAAATTAGACGACGTGAGGATTTCTCTAAGAAAATATATACCAAAAGAAAATATATATCATATTTACTATCTAAACAAAAATTTTAAAAAAGCTTCCAAAAACTGTGTATGTTATCTCTGACTCGGAAAAAATAATTGATGCATACAATGATATTTAAAAATAAGAGAAGACCTACGAAATGTGGATTAAAATAAGAATGAATCAGAGATCAGCAGCTTCATTAATAATCAAAATTTTTAGATGTGTTAGTGCGCAGTTGATAACGTTGTCAAAGGATAAAATAAGTAACAAATTACTATAAATAACAACGATTACCTATCTCGGAAGTAAATTGACTTCTGAATAAATCTCAAATAATGACTCCGTTATAAATAAAATCCCAAAAAAACAAATTGGAATTCTAAAATCACAAGAAATAACAATAATTATGTAACAAAAAATGGTGATTGTAAGACAAATATATCATTACGTAGGGAAATGTCTTCGAAGTAAATTTTGAAAAATATTAACCCAAAAAAATAATTCTGCTGTAAAAAGGTCTCCGGAAGAAAAAAAAACTTCACTTCAGAAAGTTTTCCCCACTAAGAGAGAAACCTCAGAGATTCGCATATCGGTTTAAGAGGGTTCGGTGAACATCAAGATCTTCCAATACGCTTCCTTATCGTTCGCTCTAAATAAAAAAAAAAATGTTCGGCTATTCTAGTACTTAAATGTTTGAGAAATAAAATTTAAAAAATAATAATAAAAATTTTACTATGAGATGAATTTTTCTCGAAAGGTGGTATTGAGTGAACAGGTTTCCATCAACCTTGATCCAAAATATTTTTAAAATACTTTACCATTGCTAAGACTATTGGATTTGGATATGTATATATATAGATAGATAGATAGACTTTGCGAAATGAAGTACAAAAAAGAGATAGAATGAGTTCATTTCATAAAAAAAAATTTTTTTACTTGAATATATATATATAAAAATAAACAGTTAATTATAATTGAATAAAAAAAAATGTATGTATTGAAATTTCTACGTCGATAGTAGAAAATGCATGTACTATCTGTTACCAAGTATTATGATTATATGATTGCTACACAATACATATATAGTATTAATAGTTAGCTGGTATCTGACTTGTTTTGGAACAGGAATTGGAATAGGAGGTTTTTGAATGTGTATAGGGAAGGGGCATGTCGGATTTTGATCGGGAGGGAATTCCAAAATTTGACAGAGCGGGCTATAAAGGAATTTTGGAAAGAGGCAGATCTATGAGAAGGGATGTATAGAAGGGATGAAGAGAAGGATGGTTAGGGTGATCAGTCAGAAATAAAAAGGCAAAAATAAATAATATTTATTTTAACATATGCCGACGTTTCGACCTAAAGTTCAGGCCTTCATCAGGGCTGTTCGAAGAGATGGTTGGAATTGAACTATTGAACTATTCAATTCGAACTATCCCAACCATCCTTCTCTTTATTATTCACGACAGTCAACCATCAATGCACAATTAAGAGAAAAAAATGGCTATTCATTATCCAATTATTTTGTAAACATTTGGCAATCCAGTGGAGTACGAGTTGAAATATTGCATTAACCCCAGCTAGGTTCGTTAGCAACTTGCAACAAATGTCGGTTATAGAAGTTGCCCTAGGCGACAACATGGCGGTGCGGCGGGCGAATTCGCTGAGTGGCCATTGGACCGCAAACCAATTGTACGAGTGGAGTTAGCAGGATTGTTCTTAACTCATTGGCCGAGAGAGCACTCCGAGTTTGCGGGGTGAGGACTGCGCCACTTTATGGCGACAGTTCGCCAACTAGCTGTCACGCCAGTACAAAAACTGGTTTACCAATTTATAATTGAAATTATATTGATGTCTGTATCACTAGCGGATCCACGATTTAATTTGGGGGGGGGGCTTCTGCCCGAAAGCTTTTTTTCATAAAAATAACGATAACTATTTAACTACCTAAGTACCTATATGATATGGTGTTGAAGTGATTCCTAAAGTCCTTTTAAATGTAATTACACGAAATATAATACTTTAAAAGATAATTTTAAAATATTTTTTTCTATGAAACATGCTTATATTTTACCATTTTGGGGAGCTTCAGCCCCAAAGCCCTCTCCCGTAGATCCGCCTGTGGTCTGTACTAAACAGAACCCTCCGAACAAAAAATAAATCTAGTCCGGTGCGCGCAACACACAACTTTAACTTACCATAAGTGAATACTTAAATAAGTATTTTCAGGCAAACGAAAAGTGAAAGTAAAAATTATAAACGCTATATTTATTTAAATTTCATTGCGGGTATTTTTATTTGTACCCTTACAAATACGTACACGCCATTTTAGCTTACGACGTTGAGATAACAGAAAGTGTGGATCTGGTGCATTGTTAATTAATAATTGTTTCATTAAAAAAGATTACTATCCCATTAAGAAACACTATCCAATATAGCATTGGACATTAAAAGAAAAGTGGAGATATAAAAATCACTTTCTAGTGCCTGAACATCGTTTTGATGAAAGTTACAATATAAATAGGCCATGCTGAGAACAATAATGGATTAGTATAAGTTCAGGGATAGCCGTGTATTTTGTCTGAACTGTTAAAGTGGAGGAATGTTTTACATTTTGACAAGATAATCAATCATTAAGCAAATTGGTAATTAACTGTCGTGGAACAGAATGAAAATTTACCGATTGTATGTATAGAATATATAGAAACATTTCTTTGACTTCACGGATATATTAGAGAGAAAGATAGCAATCTAATATAAAACGGACCCTACACGATCAGTCATTAATGTCACGAGACTGACAAGGATTGCTTCAATCATGATGGACACTCCACGTATCAATCAGACACTCTATTCTAGCTCACGACGTTGAGATAACAGAAAGTGTGGATATGGTGCATTGTTAATTAATAATTGTTTCATTAAAAAAGCTAATTTTAACACTATCCATTACAGCATTGGACATTAAAAGAAAAGTGGAGATATAAAAATTTCTAGTGCCTGAACATCGTTTTGATGAAAGTTCGAAAAACATAATTTTGCATTTTGACTACCTAGTTCTGCCATAAATACTGTTACAAAAGTTGAACACTTACCTCAATCAGTTTATTTTCTTTACATGTCAGGATAATAATCCCAATTAGTTTATATTTTTCTTTCACTCATTTAACATGGAGGGGGGTGATCAAGAAAATAGAATAACTGTGATTACCTTCCACAAAGTTGCGAAATGTAGATCAGAGATTTTCAACACATAGAAACCTTTGGGTATCAGCCGTATGTTCGTGTACCGCACTATAAATAGATATAGTGCAACTGAAGTTGCCTGAATGGAATCGCTTTAGTCGCATGCTACACAAGTGTACGACAAAGCGCATGCGACATTAATTGAATTTGGTACCACATAGTCGGACGGTTACAATAGGCAGCACTAGTAAACAAATATCAAGCAACATTATGTTCAGTGTTGTCTCCGTGAAATTTATTCGCCTTTATTCAATAAAAAATGTGACCACTTTAAGAAAAGATGAAATTGGATTCAGTTCCTTTTCCGTTCGAAATCAAATAAATTTGTCTGCTGTAAATTATGTCTAGAATCCCCTCCCACAGTTTGGCTATTAACAAACTTTTGTCCTCCTAGATCGGCGATCGGTGGATAGTAGTGTTGCCCATATGCGAGACCGAGACTAGTCTTGGTCTTGCAAACTCAGTCTTGGTCTTGCGCAAGAGTCTTGTAGTTACTTATTAGCTTATTACTATAGAGATATTACCATAATTTTTTAGATAGGAGAAACTTAACTTAGCCCGAATGAAAAATTAGAGGAGTTAAATGCAAGTATATTGATTATACCAATTATTAACATATAATAACTAAGATTGTCAAGTATTAGTAACTATTTTGCCTTAATTTAAATTTAAACAATCGATTTTTTTTACCAGTCCTGGTCTTGGTCTTGCAATAGTGATACGTCCTTGATCTCGGTCTTGCAAAGTGCAAGACCAAGACCGATTTTGGACAACACTAGTGGAGAGAAGTGTGTAGACAGTGATTAGTGGTATAGGAATCGGTAAATATTTCGGCTCGTCATGAATGAAATTAAACTACATTCTATTTTAAGTTAAAATAATATTTTTTTGGAAACAATTTTATTTAGTCGTAACAATTTGCCTGGCATAGGATCGCTTTTAGAATTATTTAGTATTATATTGGGGGATATTGAATACTTATTAATATTGTGAAAGAGGACGAAATCCAATTTAGAGGACAATATTTGCTATTAAATAGAATCAGCGAGGCATTTAATACAGTCTGAAATTTAATTAAAGTTCCGCTGAATTAATTCTAAATGAAATATATATTTTTTGTTTCCACAAATGGTTAATTGTATTTATATTGTATTCCTGTTAGACAATCAATACATTTATCTATACATGTATCCTTTCTTTTCTTTCATATAATAATCAATGAGCCGCATATTTATTACATACATTCTTTATGCCTAAAGCATGCATACCGCCGAAAGTCTGTATGTCGAACTTCCATATTTATATTTTTTTTTTTAGAAAACTGTATTTTTATATATTTTCAAATCTCTTTATCTGATTAAATTGCTATAAAACAAACAAAATCCATATTATTGATCTTTACAACTGTATTTTTTTTTATTTCTTTATGACATTTACAACTGTATTACATAAATACATCAAGTAAATTTGGACATAATTGATATAATGACATGAATACACTTGCTGAGTAACTACCCAATGGTAGCACTCTAATGATATGACTACATTAGGAGATCACGGGACCATCTTCTTTTCAGACGCCTCGGAGGGTTATAAGGAATTGAAGAGGAAGCAAGGTTAGAAACGAGAGGGTTGGGATGATTCTGAAGTTTATTATGGAAGGATAGGTATCTGGATTGGGCAAGATCTGATACATAAGGAACATTAAGATCTTCATGGATAATTTTATTAGTGACAAAGTAAGGAGCATTGAGGATTTTACGAAGGATTTTGGATTGTAAGGATTGGATGCGAGAAGAATTCGATGGTTTAGTAGTGGAGCCCCATAGCTCAAACAACTGTATTAAAAATAAAAATATATTTAGTAAATGTATTGTTAAAACCTCATATGTACCTAGTTCTGCCATAAATACAGTTACAAAAGTTGAACTTTGTATACATCCTTAGGTATTATTTAGATAATCCTTACCTCTATCAGGTTATTCTCTTTACATGTCAGGATAATAATCCAAATTATTTTGTATTTTTCTTTCACTCAGTTAACATGGAATGGGATGATAAACCGAATAGCTGTGATCGCCTTGTATAAAGTTGGAAAGTGTAGGTCAGAGATTTTCAACATTTGGGTATCAGCCGTACAACACTATAGATAGATATAATGAGACCTTATCTGTATGTGACACACCTCGACCCCGTACGGTGAGAACGGCAAATGCAGTGAGAGCAGTGGCTGCACAAATCAGAAGAAATTCCATTCGAAAACAACAAATCATGTCTCGAGAAATAGAAATCTCTGTCAGATCAATGTCTCGTATAATAATAAGTGACCTTAGGATGAGTGCATTCCGAAAAATGACAGGACAAAGGCTATCCATTTCCCTAAAAAAAAAAAAAAAATTAGAGTGGATGAATGCAAAGCGCTTCTTGGCTGTTACACCAATGATCTTCATCGAAAGATTTTGTTTAGCTTACTCGTTCCAGAACATGAGGAGGAGACTAAATAGGCGTTGGATGAGAGATCTCCTTCCTTAAACAACCTAAGTAATTGGAACAGGTTAGGGAAGAGGTACTGCTGAGTACTTTCCTTCCCCATGCCTGTCATGTCATTATTTCTTGTATCTCCAGCTTATTTGCCGGTTGCCAACAAATAGTTGAAAATGAAAGATCGTTCCATTGTAGACTAAAATACGAATGATAATAAGAAGATATTTTTTTAAATATGTCACATCCTCACAAATATGTAAAATAAATGACATTTTATTTGCTTATAAATTGTATGATACGTTGAATAAATAGTCTAAAAGGGAAGTTACAAAACTTGATGAAAAATATATAAATGCATATAAATACGGTATTACAATGTATGAATAGTGCCTATTATTATTTTATTTTTTGATTAACAGTTATAAAATTTTCCCTTTGAGAAATTTTATAGCTTTACTTTATATAGTAACCAATAAAATACAGAATCGTTTAGCCCGAATTATATAACTGATATTTCGTGCTGTTAAGACGAATGCTAGTAGCTCGAGTGGTAATTGGTGGGAATGGTGTTATAAAGCGAGCGTGGGATTGGCTGTGAGCCAGTTAGGTCTCATCGATTGGTCCAGCTCTGCTACGCGGCGGCCAATGGAAAGCCGAGGTGCCAATTAAATTTTCCCCTGTGATCTGCTCTTCACACCTTTCTTAAACCAACTTTTTTTTCGGATAAAGAGGTCGATAAAATCGACTACTGGATTAGATCAGCCATATATATCGAACACCACATAAAAAACATCTGCCAAGCAAAAGTCAATAAATCTTCCTCCCCTGTTTTCATTTGCTAAAAAATATCTATATTAAAAGATCTAAAATTTTTCTTGTGGAAATAAAATCTCTAGAAGAAGCCCTTTTCAAAATATCAGTATTCCCTCAACATATACGGGTTTTGTTTTAACAATCCATGAGTTTTGTTTATCAGCAAAAACTAAAATGCGAAAGAGTTCCTCATTTGCAGATTGCCTATTTGATAATTC